GTATTATATAAGTAAACTTATACTATTATACACACACACACACACACACACACACACACACACACACACACACACACACATATATATATATATATATATATTACTTTCATATAGTCATGAACATGAAGCTGTGTATCTTTTTGTTTTTCTTTCTTCTGCAGGTATGCAGAACCACCAGACTTCATACCATTGCACTGTTCTGCTGTTCAGTTCCTCTGACGAACTTTTGATTCTGGGCTCCTGTGGCTCAGTGAGTAGTGAAAGATCCTGAAAGTAGTGAAGTTTCCTCTGAACTTACTGGAAGCATACAACCAAATGCAATGGAAGGTTTAGTTCTGTAGAAAGTGTACCCACTCTACCAGCAGAGAGCAGCGTGCTCCCACGCTTGATTTTGACCAGTTTGTCTCTGAACGTCAACTGTCTTTTTGTGTGGGCGGCTGTGGCTGAGTGGTTAGAGCAGTTGTCCTTCAGTGCGAGAGTTGGAAGTTCAATTCCACCAGCAGTCACATGCTGAAGTGTCCCTGGGCAAGACATTGAACCCCTCATTGCCTCCGATGTGTGTCCCATCAGTGTATGAATGTGATAAAGCTCTGAGTAAATGGTCTGTACTGACATAGCGCTTTTCTATCTTATTTCGAGATACTCAAAGCACTTTACAACAATCTGTGCCTCATTTACCCATTCATACAGCTCTATACTAGATTGCTACAATGCTAATTGAACAAATCATTCTAAAGAGACTAATCAGAGATTCATCACATTCATACACTGATGGGACACACATCAGAGGCAATGAGGGGTTCAGTGTCTTGCCCAGGGACACTTCAGCATGTGACTGCTGGTGGATTCGAACCCCCAACTCTCGCATTGGAGGACGACTGCTCTAACCACTCAGCCACAGCCGCCCCCACATATCCAGATCAGCCTGTAGAGATCTAGTAGAGTGCTGTATGAATGGATAAATGAGGCACAAATTGCTGTAAAGAGCTTTGAGTGTCTTGATCACATAGGAAGGTTCTATATAAGTAGTCTATTTACCATTTTAATGAAACCTACAAAAAGTATAAATTGGATGTGCATCAACAAATGATTAGATATTGGAATCAGCTCATTTAAGATGACACAGCCCCCCCCAAAAAAAACAAACAACAAAAGTAGCTAAAATTAGCTAAAGTTTTACAGAAATTGAGCAAACAATTTGTGCAGCACTCGCTGAGACTGATTCCCAACACAAATTCAAACCACTTAAAAAAATCTGTACAAGATATTAGTTTATAACTTTACCATTAACTGTCAGCTCTCTCTGTCTGTGAGGATAATATAAAATGAAGCACTGAAACTTTCAGTAAATTTACATCTGGTGAACAGCTGCAGCTCGCTAACAAACATTTAACAATAGCAGCTAATCAACTTTAGCCAACATGAAGATGGCTACAGTTTAGTCAGTTCTACAGATATTGAGCTAATATTCATTCAGAGATTACAGGCCTTTAATGAGCCATGTTTAGTTTAGAAAACAGGAAAATATAAAAAGGATTAGTTAGATTTTTCAGACTGGTTGTAGACTCCATCTGTACTTTAGGTACAGCTCAGACTGGAAACCATTGAGCCACAGAGAAGAATTTCAAGTTCATGTCAATTTTATTGTCATTCGCATCACATGTGGTACATGAGGTGGAACGAAATTATGTACTCAGGGTCCCAGTTACACCCAACAATAGCAAAAATATAAAATGTAAAAAGAAACATTAAGTATGGATCTAAAATATACACTAAACACTGTTAATGTAAAACTATACTGTGCTCATATTTGAGCTCATGCTTGTGGCAGGCGGTGAACAGAAGGCATGATGGGTAATGTCAGTGTTGAAACTGAGCCCTGCAGCTGTATCAGTGTCTCCCTGTGTGCCGTGATGTGTGTGCACATCTGGATGATGTGATCTGATCTCTTAGTCCCTCGGGGGCTCAGTCTTAACTCTGCTTCACAGATTGTTGGCGCTGCCTTTTTATCATCTCCTGACACTAATTCAGTCCAAAGAGCTGCTCCAATCTCTGAGATCTCACTTTGAGTCAGATGTTTGTTTTGAAAGTCAGAGCTCGTGAACGTCGTCTGGGATGTCGCTGCATCAACGTGTTCCACTGCTGAACTGTTTTGGTTCTGACACTCTCAGTTCTGTTGGGAACATTTGATGTGAAGATGTTCACATCCATCTTTTGTGATCAACAGTAACACGTTTCTGAGACGTCTTCTGCTCTGCAGAAATAAAACTGATGACAGTCTGATGTAATGCCTAAAGCGCCTTGCATAAATATTACCTGTCTTAGTGATTTCAATTATTTATTGTAAGGTGTGTGTTCATTTGTTTGTAGCATTAGCCAAACATCTCATGAATCAGTGGATTGATTTTCGATGAAACTCAGAAACCAACTACTGGATGTTCATCTAAAACTGCTTGATATTTTGGAGAGAGCTCCATTCAAGATGGCCGCCACAGCTAAGCGACAGTAGAATACAAAAATCAGTATAGCTCAGACAGTTTTTCAGATCATCTGCCAAATTTTGGTGCGGTAGTTGCTGGGAGTAATTCCCAACATGTACTCTGAGTGCCAACAGATCAG